AGCGCTTTGGATATCTCCAAGTGGCCGCTTAAATCCAACACCGTACCGTCCGGCAGGCATTCAAGAGGCTGTTCTGATAGCTTCGTTTGACTTTTGGGTCCACTAGTTTCTTAATGGTTAAGCGATATGTGGGCGTTTTGTGTACACCTTGAAAGTGGAATGAAAAGCAGCAGGGTACAAGTGCGTGGTCGGAGTCCGCGCTGGTCTTCCAGAAGGGGCGGCAGGTGGTGATCGACCCTTGCCACCGATGACTGACGGGTATGTGGTTTATTTGGATTCTGCACGTGGGCACCACGTTGTCAAGCGATTTCCACTCTTCCGGAAATTCGTACTGCAAAGAAACAGTCTGTGATTGGCACATATCTGAATTAACCGGTCTCCGTTGTCCGTGCGTCTTGTGTCCAAATCAAGGCAACCATATAATCGGGCCTCAACAGCACGTAGTCTACCTACCTGGGTGTTCATATCACCAGAAACCACAACGATATCTGAGCTTTAAGCCTGCTATAGAATAGCACGTAGAGCGTCATAGAAACTGTCATTGGCAGATTCAGAGCTATAGTCAGTTGGGGCGTAAGCAGACACAATAAACAAGGTGCGCTGAACCTCACTTCCTCTAGATTCTCTCACAGATGTTGCCAAACCAACCACACAGGGGCGACTATCAAAACGGGTGTCCAATCAGTATGGCAGTGCAGAATCGATGTTGAACACTGATGTCATGCTGTCGATGATGATGATGATGATTCAATCAAGCAGAGACGCTTCCGCTCGTTCGCTCAATGCAATACCCACCCCAGCATATCCAGCTGCGGTGGCCTCTGCGTCACCAGAGGCGTGCAGCCGGAACCTGGAAGAGAGCGAGAGGGCAGTCAGTTCGATCACCATACTTACGTACTTCCTCCTCGTTTCTGACGGACGACATACATCGATACGGAGGTAATCCAGCGTACGAGCAAGAGACATCTGTTGATCTGCCTGCTTTAGTATGCGAACAATAAAGGTGGCTAAGTAGACAGGTTTTCGGGGTTTGAAAACAGGTTTAGGGTTGTAACTCAACTCGAATGTACAGAAGCTGCAGCTGAGTGTGATGCACGGCGAGCGAAACGGTCTGTCCTTGAGCTGGGAACTGTGGAGAAAGTATTCAAATTTGGGCGGGGGGTGGTGGACGACGGAAAACTGGAAATGGTAAGGAGGGAGGCGTCAGCAGGGCCATATTTTTCTTACTCGTTCTGCTGTATGCAGCGAGTAAGGCGACCCTGCTGATGGAACCACGCGACAGCCGATGTGGCATGAGGTTATTGTCACACGTAGGCATCATGGTTATACGTGGGCTGCGATAGTTTCAGGGCGCCACACATAGACAGGAGGACGATTGGGGTCCTCAGCCAAAGCCTTTGGCTCAGAAGCCTAACCTCAAGGCAGCGGTGTTGGGCTGGAAATGCAAGCATATTACCATTTTTTCGGAACTCGTCGCCGCACATGTTCCAACCCCAATCCTGAAGGGCCAGGAGACTGTTCGCCAGATATCTACCCATGGACCATCCTGGTATGAGAGACTTTTCGACGTTTGAGGAAAAGAAGACCTATAACGGGGCTGTCTGGAGTTACAATTTCACTGATGTGAGATCGGTTATAGGTTAGCAGTCCACATGAAGAACTGCAGGTGGCCGGTTGGATTATCGTTGACGATGGTTAACCCAATGATCCAGGTGTTCTTGTTTATTGAGGCATTCGCCGTTGCGCTCACCAGGAGCCTTTTTGGCCCTATTGCGTGTATCGGCATCTCAAGAGATTTCTGCTTCCGCCATCTCTGATTCGTGGGCCTACTAAGTTTCTCAGTCCATGCAGGTGATTTTTTTCAGCAGACATCTGACAGTCCGTTTAGTTGTTCTGTACTCCCGATGAAGAGGACTGCCCCTCCAACCTTCGAACAATTTCGGGGTATTTGCTGTGATCATACAATGCTTAGATATAGTTGGTTGCACCATTCCACAAGTGGAACGATGCGGATTTTGGATAACAGTTCCTTCCAGCGAGAGTTGACATCAGAATTGTTGTCCGGGAGGTACTTCACTTGTTTCTCATCAGAGTCCGAGAGCTACTGAATGGCCAAACCAGATGTGCACGTTTTTCGAGCTTCTGGAAATCGCAACGAGGTGCAGTAACGAACAGGCATTATCATCATCATCATCACGGACAGCATAAAATCAGTGTTCGAAACTGATGCTTCATTGCGACATAACGGACAGGTGCTTGGTCCGAATCCACATAGGTGCTCCAGAACGAGAGGCATGTGGGGAACACCACGTGTTCCAATGGCTTCGGTGGTTTTGGGGCCCGGTACTACATATAAGCTGTCTGGTCAGTGCATAGGTACATCAGGTGCTCGCCATTATCTCTGCATCTCGATCACAGTCCAACACAACCGTCCAACTGGTCTTCAGCAGCGCTAATTCCACCTACATGTGTATCCATATCTCCAGCAACCGCAACAATATCTGAGCTCTTAGACCACCGTTGTGAGGCTCTCAAAGCGCCGTACGGACTGTCTTTGGAAGTATCACGGCCAAAACCTCTTGGGGCCTATGCAGATACAACGAACAGGCAGAGATGATCGGTGTATTTGTGGGGTGCTCTCATATCCGTTGCCAAACGAACCACACAGAAGCGACTGAAAAAAATCGTTCCGCTATAACACTTTTTCGGTGCCTAGCTGCCATGCCACCCAAAGGAAGTACAATGGCTGGGATACTGCTAGGTTGCCCAAGCGTAGACAAGGAAGTTGAGCGACGGAGGTCAGGTTCGAACCACAGACCTTCTGGTCAGCAAATCCGCGCTCTAACCACTGACTAATCTCGCCCCTGCAGAGGCGGTCGCCAAAGTGCAAACATCTGATCGGTGATCTTTCAGCTTAAAATAATGTCAACCCCAGTAGAATCCGTCACAACGGAAGGGGCGCAAACTGAAGCGAGTGGAAACCGGCGGGGGATACAGTCGAGCAACCGGATACAGTTCTTGAATCCTGATTTCAGACATACTACACACTGCACTAGAAAGCCAGTCTGGCGTACATGCAAGAGCAGTCTGTTATGTGGTTTGTTTCAGAGTTCTGCCTAATGAACGGAGCGTCGGGATTTGAAGGTTGATTTCGAAGTGTCTGCGTCCTTGGCAGGGATTTAACGAAAATGATGTCAAATGGCCCTGTCATTCTTCAAGAATGGGCCTGCGCAGATGTCGCTCGCAACATGGTTAGCAGGGGAGAAGAAATAATATGGGAAATAGGATGGACGCGTGAGGGATATCTTGTTTCTGCCCTTCTGTGCAGCAAGCAAGGCTACCCGGCCAATGGAAGGATGTGAGGTCATTTATAAGGAGCTAAAGTGAGCTAAAAAATTTCATCAACTACGGGGGCGCCACTTAAGTAGCCAGGAATTCCTGGACACGTCCAAGAATTATTTGCCTAGACCTAATGAAAATGGATGTCTTTGGGGTCACACAGTAAGGTGACAGATGCTGTTTTCGATGGGGTGCACCTATAGTGTGCCCCAAGAGCACAAATGGCTAAAATAAAAGGTGACTAACTATCAACGAAGTTTCTAGTGGTCAGAGTATATGTAGCAGTACTCTCTGGAATCGTTTACCACTTCACGACCGTAGGCGGGCTGACAGCACTGCATCGATTGCATGTCCAGGTTGGGACCTCGAACCATCCATACACGTTTTCCGTCGATAAGTCTTGCGCGTGTTACGGCTCGCCTGGCCACTTCCATCCAAATCGCAGTTGATCAGTTGTCTTCATGTGATTTGGCACTTATGCGCTATCTGTTTGCTGAACTCATGGCTATAGAACTGTTTACCCTGCTATCTGGGCTTGGGTAACCTTGTGGTTTCCCAAATGTCTCGTTTCCTTCGGGTTGCGTCACAGCTAGGCGCCAGAAGGGTGTTACAGCTGAACGATTGCTATTACCATTATTATTATTCCCCCAGGTTTACACCCGGCAAAATCTTTCAGTTGGTTGTGCGCGTTTAGCCTCCTGTTCTGCGTTCTTGTCTATCGGCGTCGTTGAGTATGTAACAAACAAATTCAGGAATGAATGTCAGTCCAATGTGCTGCTATTTGACGTCACGAAGAGACTGGACCTTACCGTGGTGTGACGGTTTGCGCACCTTGACGTTGACATCACCGCCACTTCTAGTCTGTCAGAGTTACCGTGAATCACCAAGAATTAGCCTTCCATGCTACCTATTATTTCTGGATTTCCAATGCGCGTTTTTGACTAAGTTGAACCGTCATATCTGCAATCGACGAGATAGTGAGACGAACGTTAGATCTTCAAAACTCACGTATTCAAATGGCTGCTGAAGAATAACTTGTCGGTCTGGAATATGAAGACGATATGGGATGAGAGGGCGCAGATATTTTGGGGGTGAACTGGTATGTGCTTTTCATCCTCAAAGTGTAAGACCGTACTCCTGGACATGCAGTCCCTGAACACACCACTTACAATTCAAGGAGAAGCACTCAGCGTTGTGGGAAGTTGTGCCTGTCTTGGAAGTCTTGTTACCTTGTGGTTCGACAGGAGATATTAACGTACAAACCTCTAAGGTTTGCCCATAATAATGCTACTCTCCATGTCCGATTCAGAGTAGCGCATGCAAAATTTCGGTCAATGTTTGACCTGACAGTGGAAATAATAATAATAAATAATAATAACCGTTCAGCTGTAGCAATCTTTCGGTGCCTAGCTGCCATGCCACCCGAAGGAAGCACGAGGACTGGGATACTGCCAGGTTGTCCAAGCCTAGACAGGGGAAGTCGAGAGGCAGAGGTCGGGTTCGAACCACGAAACCACGCGGAAATTGAAATTGATTTCGAAAAAATTGGTACTGTTGGTGCTACTCACCTTCCAGTATGTGGTTCGCGCGATCCCCCCCCCATGTGCGTTGTTGGAGACGCTGCAACATATGGCTGCTAATCGATGTCGCTGGTGTTCTTATTACCAGTTCCTGCTCAGCTTTTCCGAATGAGTGTCTGGAGGTTTAGACACCTTGGAATGACTGTCATAGTTTAGCACCAAGTCGCTTCCCACTTGCTTTTCATCCTTTCTTTATAGTGAGGCTATCAAGAAAATTGTGTTAAGTGGCAGCCAAGCATCAGTGCTAAATACTGATGTGCTGTCGATGGTGATCATAGCTCATCTATACAATGAAAATCAACGCAATCAGGTCGGAGTTCTTAAGACAGGGAGCGATGCAATCCAGTATTAGTATGTTTCTGGCAACCTGACGCAATGGGAGTTTTTGTCTCCCTCAGCGACAAGTTGATCTTCCCCTACAGCGATTTTCATTCCTAATTTGGCGAAGTCGGTCAGTCAGTTCATCAATAGATATGTCGATGCGAAGATACCGTTCTTAAATGCTTTAGTTTCCAAAACCGTGATGGTGAACCGACGTCAGTGGCATCCATGCTTCAGTTCCACGCAACCCGTCTGACAGTTTTGGAGGTGCAGACACCCCGGATATTTGTGGCAAACTGGTGGTAGGCATTTCCTGTCTGCTTTGACCCTTTTATACATCGGGACTCTCTTTGAATAAATTGGCTTAACTATATGGCAGTGAAGTCCAGATTTTTTCAACGATGACGATGATGCTGGGACGTTCACTGTGTGATCTCACCCGTTTCGTATTTCAGTTTCCTGGTCCTGCCCTTCTCTATGTCCGCGTCGGCATTTCTGTATTCATCGAACTTGTCCATCGACTTGCAGAAGGCCATAATGAAAGAATGTAAGATATTTTGGCGCCATACGATCCTACTCCTCCTCATCTTCTAGGTCCGAATCGATCCAAATCGCATAGCGTTTGGCTGAAGTATCTGGACAAAATGGAGTCCAAGGTTCGGGAAATGAATTTGGGAGAATCGGCCAACCAAATTATGCTAAAGCTATATGAAGATGCCTGCTCGGTAAGAGAAAGTATTCTCACCCGTTTATCAAAATGTCTTTCTCCTAACAGTGGCTACCGGAACTGTGGACCGATGAAACTTCACTGATTATAACTATGCGAAGAGCTGCTCTTCTGCTTTACCAGTAATCATTTTCAGCTGCGATTTCCTCACCTTGGTGTAACTAATGATTTCTAGTGACATTGAAAGCGGCTTGGCCTTAATGTCCCTCTGTTCACTGAATGCTCGGCGCAACCCGCGCCTTGCAGTTGCCGTTGCATTCCACTACAGTAGGGCTGGTAAGCGGTATTTCATTTTCTATGGAATTTCCGTAGGAGAACGCTCACGGGCCAAGACGGTGCTGGCGACTGCGAAGAAGCAGGCCAATTCTGTGGATCATGCTCTACTCTGTGGGGCCGAAATGTTGTTGGAGTCAGGTGGTGATTGGAAAACAGTTTTGGGTGCGCTTTACTACGAGCCACCCTACGATGGAGGTGAGAGATTAGGTGTACTTCACTATCTTCTACATTCTCCAGGAGGGCTGAAACCCCCTGACTCAGTAATCGGTATGTGCACATTTCTTTACAGTCCTATCTCTTCACTCTCGTTTCGTTCACAGATACATCCCAAATCGCGGTAAATAAACCCAAAAAGTAAGCAGTTTCGTGTCTTCTTTAACCAAATCTTTTCCAAAAATTCGCCACCTGAGTGATCAAATCTATCTTTTACGGGACATGAACTTGTTTGTGATTTTCCAGATCCTCAATTCAAAGTGAAGAGAAAATGGTTCACTTCGCTCAGGATTTGAGTACAACAAGTAACATATGTCTTTTCGTGAAGCACATTTTCTTACAGTCCCTAATGCTGAACTGTCATCTGTGTCGAGCCTTTCCGAGTCACCATTCGGCTCTCTGTCGAACAGCAAGGTAACAGAGCCCACTGAGTCCGTTTTGGGGTCAGATTCTGGTGTCTCTGAGACGCCCACCCCGTTCACTGCGTGAGTTCAAAGTTAACACCCTTAAGTTACTCTGCAATACATGCATTCGTAGCATTGGACACATAAAGTGAAAGTTGATTCAGGAGAATCACGCATTATGCATGAAAACTCCTGTTTTATATTCCTTTGAAGTTCTGTTCTGTATCACATCCAGACAGTTCGAACGTCTTTAAGTCCTCAACAACCGAGTTTCAATTTAGAAATATTTAGTTTTCTTTTGTGGTTATTTCAGCCTCCATCATGACGTTTCTCCGAGCTAGTATACATTACAATCGGTTTTGACGGTGTTTATCCTCTAATCATGTTCATCCGCTTCCATTATCCCATCAGGAGTGTAACCGATGGCACTGACGTTTCGACGGTTCGACAGTATCATGATCAGTCGGTAAACGCATCCCAAAGCAAAATGGGTAACAGTGCCATGGACATTTGCCCTTCTGGACTCTATCACTCTAGCAGTTTGCCACCATTTCACACTTCGCCTTCCAGACCTGGTCGAGCCCCTCTTCGTACAATAGACCTACCGCCACACTTGCCCTGCTTTAAGGGGACAGGTGAATCGACCAGTGTAGTCATCGAGGTGAGTACCATCGAGGTGTCTATCCTCTGTATCGACATGCGCCTTGAATAACACAATTTAAACATAGTCCCGCAGAGTGCAGCTGGACGCAAGGGACTAAAGAAGTGCGTAATGAGAAGTGGTTCTACCACTAATTTGGTGGGATTTTCCCACTGTAAGACACTGTAGGAGACTTGCATTCTAGGTTCTATGCCTCAATTGTTTCTTCCAATGAATGCATTTGACGATATTTGAAATTACCTTTTGTTACACAAGAAGATATTGAAAAACGAAGCAAAGGAAAGTGCAGAATGCGTGCAGTTGCGTGGTTTATCATTATTCCTACGACAATGAGTTCTGTTATTGTGGTCCGTCTACTCTTTGCGCAACCCATCTCCTCTTAAACTAACCGGAATCTTGACCGCGCTTCCACATCACTAAAAGCACGGAAGCAAGTGTTCCCAATGGTATCCTTGCGAATGTGGTTTTAACGGGAGATCACGGCTGAATCTCTCGTTTATGGTAGTTTTCAATTGAATGTGCTACACAAATGCCGTCTGGTGTTTCATTTCGAGATATCGCCGTATGTTTTATTCAATGAAGTTGCTCACAAGGGCGCTCCACAACCGGTTTCGCTCTTTTTGGGCCTCATCAGGTAGGCGCAGTTCCCGAGTTTCTGTCAACCTTACGTTCCACTTAAACCCAAATTGTACAAAATTCGCGATTTGCACTCATTCGCAAACCAAATGGGGCACTCAACCGAATCCCGATGAGATCCCTCGTTCACGTCAGTCTTCAACTGAATGCACTGCACAAAGGCCATCTAATGTTTTAGTTGGGGAAATCTTCGAGATGTCGCAGTATTTTTCTTGACAGAGCACACAACACATGTTGTCAGCAGCGTTTTGAGTAGTGTCTACCGTCAAGAGTCAAACTACCATCTGTCGCCTTTATGAGTGGGTTCTGAGCCCCTAAGTGTCCCAGTTCCCTGGTCTAGGTAGTTGCTTCTTACATGTTGAATATGCTCCTTGATAGCTTACAGTGCGAAGCGATGGGACGGATGGTCCTTTTAGAATACCCATGTGATATATTCTGGCTGACTGCAAATGCGTCCGTCCTGATCGATATACCTGAACAGAATGATTGAGGCTCCTAGTCGATACCGCCACTAAACAGGTGGACGAAGCCCTGTTGCTGAAAGTTGATGAAACACCAGTAGTGATGTTATGCATCATTGTGTCTAGAGACATCTTGCAGTGCATCTTGTGTATGAGCCATATGATCCTCTTTCTCAGTAATTGCCTATCATGAGTTTGTCTTTGAGGTGCGCTGTTAAATTGATTCCACCCCGGTGACTGGCGTCCAAATTATCCAGGCAGTCTAGCCCCTCCCAGTTTTCATCATGGCTCTACATAGACACGAAACATGAGAGATTTCTGCGTCCTCAAAAACACTCTTTAGAAAGCCTATATCTGCTACTCTACTATCCTCTCGCCTACAGCTCATCATGTGAAAAAAATAGTTCAGCTGTAGCACCCTTTCAGTGTCTGGTAACCAAGCCAAACCACGGAAGAAAAAGGCCCAAGCCTAGACAGGGGAAGTCGAGAGGCAGAGGTCGGATTCGACCCACGGACCTTCCGGTCAGTAAATTCGCGCTCCAACCACTGTCCATCTCGCCTGCAGCTCATCATATTAGCTACACTCATACCATGGCCGTTGGTGTCACAAACTGACTGTCAGTTTGTTAGATTGACCAGTTCCGCTGCATGCGGCAAATGTACGTTGCTATGCCACATGACCCTTACATGGAAAGGTACACAGGGTGTCTGGGAAGGACAAGATGCAATAGACTCTTAAACTCAGGCATAACTAACCTAGTGAATGCCTCGTCCATGCAACCATTCAGCGCAAACATCTCATCGATACAATATTGAGCTCAAGATGGCTCAGTGGTTAAGGTACGGACTTACTGACCGGAAGATCTGAGGTTCGAGCTCAGCCTAAACTGTTCTTGTCTAGGCTTGGATAACCTGGCAGTATCCCAGCCATCGTGCTTCCTTCGAATGGCATGGCATCTAGGCACCGGAAGGATGAATAATATTGATATGCTTATTTTCATATTCTCTGTGAATAGTTCAGAACTGGGTTGGACATTCGTACGGAGAGTTGCAAAGGTTTGTTTCAGACTTGGCATCCTAATTCGGGAGAAATGGGGCTTATGCCAGAATACTATGCACATACTTTCAAAGGCCCTCTGGTCTATCGGGCTCTGATGTACTGCCACGCGAATAAGCTGCCACTAAGGAGATTGACTAAAACCCGAGGATTGTACCTACCTGATGAGTCTCAAGAAAGGCGAAACAGGTCGTGCTTTGCCGAAAGGTTTTCAACAACCCGGTGAGTAGTGTACTTCGCCAATGAAATGTGCCGCGTTATCCCGAATGTCGTACCAAGTAACACGTGAGGCGGATTTTGTTCGTTTAAAGAATAACATAAAGGAGAGATGCATTTGGGATTCACTTGAGTCTCTTGTGGTCACCAATTTGCTTTGGAAGTGACTGTTTATAGCCCGAAACAGCGTCGTTTCTGTCATAGGTTACCAATACAACGATCGGCAGCCAATTTGGAGTCACTTACTGAGGGGTAAACTCCCGACAGGGGTATCTGCAAGCAATAGAAACACTTCACAAAAGGTTTGAAAGAGGCGAATGCGCCGAAGGGATTGAGGCAGTGATCGTTCTAGATAGCTAGAGATCTTCCTTGACATCACCATTTACCTGATAGCAGCTTTTTCAAGATGTGCGAGCAATCACCAGTTTCTACATGAGTATGAACTCAGCACTTTTACCTATTCCAATGGGACTCAGATCCATTTAATCTAACGTTAGAACTCTCACGCTAACATAATCCCAGGGTTCTTGTTAACCCCTCATCTGAAAAACTTTGTTGACAACCCACGACATTCACAATCCTACAAAATATCTCGTGTTTTCTTTTGTAGCGTTCTCGATTTCTCCCGAGCGGGCAAGAGAATGTGACGAGGTCTGCTTCTTTTACTGAGCCCTCCAAGCGTGAATTTGGTATGTGTTCTCCTCATCTTTTGCTCGTTCGCGTTTGTATGCAGCTTTTTTGAGGTGCGCTGCGCGGCGTTTATGAAATCGACTTTTCCCCTTGTTCGAGTTTGAGTTTGAGTTCGGTTGAGTACAAGTCCCACACATTTCGATGCTTTTGGTCGAGTCAGCTTCCCTTGGGAGTTGTCGGTTTGATCTTTCACCGATGGAATAACCCTATCCGTACTGTCCGCCGACACTGACCGTTGAATGAAGTTGTCCAGGACCTCTATTTTCTGTTTGTCCGTTATGTTATGACCGCTAGGGTCCTATGTACGTACACCCAATCGTTCAGTCCATTTAAAAAAATACTACCCTATACGGCCAGTTGCAATCAATCTAAACATCGATGTTTGATAGTCGATACACGAGACCGAAAATATCTTTCCGTCTTGGATAAGACGGATATATATTCTCACTACCCTTTCTCCAAGTTGTTTCGGATATTTTAGTAGAATTATGCAAACCCTAACCCATGACGTGACTTACCGTAATAGCGACAAAAAGCAGGCCAGGACTGCATCGCCTCGTGCTACTACCATGAGTTTTTCCTGCTATAATTATTCTCGGCTAAAGGTAATCAACTTCGACCTGATATTGGAATTCGGAGCGTTGGGAATTTCAAAGGGCTGTAAATTGGGCATTAAAAGTGATGGAAACACCTTGGAGAATGAAATATGGTCAACAGATTCAATATGCAGAGGTGTAATGGAAGAACCGAACCAGAGTTCTAAGAACGACCACAGATGGACTGCGAATACTACGATGGCGACCTGCAAATCTGTTTACTGCACGTGCAGTATTGTTCCCGATATTCGTGGATCTATCAAGATATTTGGTTCTTCTCTCAAATTGGTTGACTCTCTTGTCTTTTTCAAGTTGACCTCCAGAACTTAGGAAACCCTGACTTTTCGCATTTCAGCAGGCTGTCGGAACGCCCCATGTTTGCTCTGTCATGGGATGATGGCGCTTAAACTGACCACCCTAGCAGTATGTAACGGCGGCGTGACTCGTTTTGAATGTTCATTTGTAGCGGCTTCGTCAACTCGTGGTCACCGCTGTAAAGTGAACCGGTGTTAAACTGTATGAAGCGGATGCCATGGCCAGCGAAGATCGCACGAAAAGTGTGCAACACAGTAAAACTGGGTAGTTAGGGCGTTCGGTTCATTCAGCGGGCTAGGAGAATTTCTTGGGTCCTGTTTGTATCTAGTCAGTGCGTCGATCCGTTCATTGGTCGTTCCGTCGTATGCTGTCCGACGCCATAATTTGCTCAGGCACGTTTCGGTGTGCATGTTTATCTGGTGGCAGATATGCTCACATTCTAACGTGTTTGCAAATAGCAGATCCACTGATATTCGCATTGTGAGTGATATGAGTGAGGGCTGTCTCACCTTGCACAGGTTAGCCAGCGTGTGTGCATCCTCGATCTAAGCCATCTGGTTACAAACATGGTGAATAGAAGCCGATGGGAAACCTTTATGGAAGCCACCAAACGGCCTCCGAGTCGGCTCTCCAGAGGTAACTGGGTTCGGAAGGCGAAGGATCGTGCCTGGGTTTTCCGGTAGTAATAACCTCTTGCGGATAAGAGGTCAGCCGGTCACTGCATTTCTAAGGCGACGGGCGTGCCTGGGTTTTCCGGTAGTAATAACCTCTTGCGGATAAGAGGTCAGCCGGTCACTGCATTTCTACGATATCCACTTTTTTTTACTGATCTGCTCAGCTGTTTACTTTCTGTGATATATGGAGAGGGCGTACGCTCGCTGAGTCTACCTTTGAGGTAACAGGGCATAATGAAACAGCTCCAATAGGGGAGGATTGGTTTGTTGTGACAATAGATGACCTTGATCACAAGAACATGTTCGCGAGAATACAAGGAGAACGGAATCGCTCGTTCCACTCTCGACACAGAGCAGTAAGTGACTGAGATTCTGGACAGATATTTCCAGCAAAATCGGTGGTAAGACGAGCAAAACCAGCTCATATGCTTTTGCACCATGGAAATTTTGCTAATTGTGGGAGGCACCCTTTCCATTTCAGACAAGCCGATCTTAGTTGCAATCTGGAAAGCGTGGATGCCATTCTGGGCGAGACGGCCCAAGTGGTTAGAGCGCGAATTTACTGACCAGAAGGTTCGTGGTTCGAACCCGACCGCTGCCTCTCGACTATCCCTGTCTAGGCTTGAGCAAGCTGGCAGTATCCCAGCCCTCTTGCAACCTTCGGGTGGCATGGCAGAATGCCATTCTATCAGGAAACCATTAGTTAAAGAGTACGGAATCCGCCCCAGACTGGATGTCGTTTACACTCAGCGTACTGTTTCCACGTTCGTATTGTTCAGCTGCCGAAGGAAACACATAGGCTGGGATATTGTCAGGTTGTGCACGTCCAGACAGAGGTCGGGTTTGAACCACGGTCGGTAAATTGGCGCTCTATCCACAGCCATCTCACCCCCATATTATTAAATCAGCTGTTTGGGTACGTTTCACTCGGCACTGTTCATCGACTTTGAGAATTGCTGGACTACCGATCATTTCAATTCTGATTCTTGGCGTCCCAAAAGAGTATGTTGAATTAGAATTAAATTTTGGGTTATGGTTTACAATAACACCAAATAACTGTGGAGGAATGTGGAGGAATGAAGCCCAGACAAGGCTTTCCAGGTTTTTATCATTGATAAGAGTTTTATGTAATCTACCCTTATAGGCTCGCTGCATCGAACGGTTATAATCCACATCAAGTGAGACTTGGCCTATTCGAGCAGCGGAACTGAGACGTCTTCAGGTGTTCGACAATCGTTGTCTCAGAACCATAGCTC